GGGGGGGGGGGAAAAATCAACTGGCACCTTTGCAACAAAGGAACGAGTCTTTGTGCGCGTGATTGTTTAAACAAATGGAATGAGCTCGGAGGAAGAAAAAAAAAAAAAAGAAAGGAAAAATTACTCGTATCGTTTCGAGCCTCGATGAAAATAATTGAAACGAAATTGCGAAATAATCGGTTAAAGGGGAAGAGCGAGCCGGTGATTTTCACGGTGAAACGCACGATTGTCGTTCGATTGGTCGTCCTCGCGGTTATTTGAGCTCGATTCATTGAATATTCTTCGCGAGGATAAAGCGAATTTCATAAACGTCGATTATCCAGCGACCCAGACGAAAAATTTAACATTTATCTGAATTTATCATGAAGGCACGGAGCCGATATCGCCGGATATAATAGCCGTCGATGTTGCGCTGACAAAATGACAATGCTGTATCCGACGATGAAGATTTCCGCGAAATTGTCGCGAGAATCACTTCAATTCGACAAAGTTCGAACTTAATTGTTTGCACTGTCCGAGAAAAAGAACAAACGTGAAAATCATGAAAACAATGATTGATTAAAAACAAAATGACCCTCAATTTCGCTATTCCCGAACGACGAGACTAGCAAAATGTAATTGTTGAGATTAAATGTTATATCATAATATACGCGACGAAATAATCTTCAATTAACCAATCTGACAATTTCCAAAAAGTGATTAATAATTTTCTTTGTTGCAAGAGGAAGTTTCAGAATTTTTTATTGCAGCAACGTTAGTAGAATTTCTAGGAATTTGTTTGTGAAATTCTGACAGAAAGCTTTCGTGAAAAGAGTTAAAATCAGAAAGTATATATATATATATATATATATTTACTTTGAAATGTACAATGTACAATGTTTTAATTAAAATGCATGATATCTTGAAGTACCTTCAAATTCATATTATTATTTAAAGGCTGAATTGCACTTAACAGTGCAAACTAAATTTAATACAAGGTAAAATAATATAAAATATATAACTTTAATTTTATAATTATTATAATAATACAATAATATGATATGAACGAGATTTCATTTGAATTCCAATTATGCCCACAAAAATATAAAATTACAGAGATATCCGTTATTCCAGTAAATAATTATAACCAAAATACATCTCAACTTTCACACAAAATTACATCCCTGTTGTAATTATTACAAAATAAAAATATACATATCGTTTTAACGACGAAAGACGACTATTGTTCGAGAATCACGTAAGATACATCTACGATACATCTTGTAAAAACATGTTTCAAATGACCGCTAATTACTTCAAAAAGTTGCAGAATAAATCCTTGACATCTTTATTTCTCTTTAAACTTATCGCTGCGATGAAACTTTCGTAATGATAATGGAATTTCATCGCGCTTATACAGATTATCGTGGAACGGTAGATAATGGGTCGACAGCAGCAAAAATATAATTATTTCAGTATTTAACGCGTTCCTGAAGCTTGCGTTCGTCCCGTGGATGCAAAAGTTTCGAAAAATAATCATGAAATCTCTCTGCTGCATTTTTACGAAAAAAAGGATAAAAAGACAAAAAAAAAAAAAAGAAAGGGAGTAAAGCAATTCCGACGGTCGCTGAAAATAACGTTTTATATCTTTCTTTCTTTCTATTTTTTTTTTCTCAGTAAGCGGGAATTTAATTCGTTAAATGTTAACAGAAAGTTAGTGCATTGAAAAATTGTGAAGTCAGGAAATCAATTCACAAGTAGCTGTGCTGCCAAGACGACAGCATTTTGTTTCGAATTTGATGAGACAAGAAAGATAAAAAAAAATGATACGAATAAAAAGTGAAAAATAATTTCTTTACGAAAATTTACGGTTAAATTATACAAGCTTCAACGATATCTGATCATTGTTTTCATTACTTTTATCTTCATTCTTTATCACTGCCATTTGACTTCAAGTTTTTCCAATTATACTTTAAATATTAATTACTAATTAATGCATGGAAATTTCATCGAATAGATTCTCTTCTTAGGAAGAATGTAATCCTCAAGACTCAGAGAAATGACGATTGATTATTATAATTGTTATAAGTGAAATTTCACTCGAACTGTATTTGTTGTTGTTGAAAGTAATAAACTCGAACGGGAAGAATTGAATTTCACTCAAACATGATCTGTAAACAAATATTTCAACAATCAGAATATTCGTGGGATTTTTTAATGAGGGATTTAAACCAGGGAAAAATATCGCAAACGCGAGTGGAAACATAAATTTAATGTTTGCAGAAGGAATGTAAATGTTGCAGCTATGTAAATATTAGTAGAGTTCGACGGTGGTTTGTGAAATTCGACGCTGGTAATTTTTCACCTGGGAAACGAACGAAGAGAAAAGAAGAGAAAAATTGGAAAACATAATTGAGAATGATATTCCGATAGATATTATTGAAGACAACTGAAAGTAGATATTATACGATAATGAAAGATATTTGACAATAAATCTAATATATATATATATATATATATATATATATATATATATATATGGCAATAAATAATAATTTGAGACACACGCATTAACTACAGATTTCTAGATTAATTTTAAATCATACACGTGAAATGTCCCCTTTGAACTTTGAACTCGAAGAATTAATTATGAACTTATACTGAATTAATACTGAACATTAAACAAGAATGGAATTACTGTGAATCACTACTGTTATCTAATATTAAGAAAATTTATAATGATAATATCAAAATCTTGTTATTGCAATTAGCAATAATTGTACAAGCCATGAATAAATATAATCTCGAAATATTACATTAGTACTGTTTTTCAAGGACGTAAATTCTTTCGAAGAAATTACAGAACTGGAAATTTTTATAAATTTGGAACAGTTGATCGTTGAATGTATATTGACTAAATGTAAGTGAATTGTCTCTTCAAGAAATGAAGAAAAACATTTTATAAAGTAAGCTTTCCCTTACGCGCCAAACAAAATTCCAATTTTAAAAAACGAAACTTAAATATGAAACTAAATTTCACGTGTACAGTAAATATTTTAAAATTGCTATACTAGAATTCTGAATATCAAACAAAGATATTACATGCGCGCATAAACGTACCTCACCGAAATCGTTGGAATTCCTGACTTTTCAAATCGTCCGTAGCAAATAGATCACCAGGCAACATTAATATTCTGATCATCGAATAAACGACGTAATAAAAACAGAGACGAACGTCACGCAAGTAAAAATATTCGCATGGTGAATAAACTTCTTCTCGAAAAAGTTCCAAGGTGACTAAAAAACAATCCACGGCCATTTTCGATATCAGTGACAAAACATCGGACTATTTATATTCACTTTTTTATCGAATTGTCACATCCCTATGATGAATTCTCTCATTTTAAGCAAACTACAAAATACGAATTTTCTAGAACAAAGAAGACGTCGAAATAAGAAAAAGAAAAAAATGGCCCTACCACGAAATAAGATGCTATTACAGATCACATATTTCAGTTATTTTTTTTTCGTATTCGGACAAATTTATTTAAAATACGAATTTACGAAACAAAAACACTGGAGATTCCATTTGTTAGAAATAAAGAAATAGCTCATTAAGTTAACTAATTAAACTAATTCGTCAACTACAGTGTCAACTGAATACAGTGCCAAAGTAATTGATATTTATTATCGCTAGCTACATGGAAAAATCTTATTAGAATGATTTCTTTCGTGCCTTGGAGTTTTAAAGTACGTAAAGTGTATAAATGATTCGTAGAGCTGGATCTGGACTACTTGGAAAGGCGAGGAGGCGAGACAATAACTTGTGAAAACGCCGAAAGTGGATCGAAAGAGGAAGAAAGCCCTGCAGACACTCTGGATCGTGTCAAAGTTGTGTTTCTCGGTGCACCCAGGGTGGGAAAGTCCAGCATAATCAGGGTGAGCACGAATTTTTCGTTGACATCGAATCGGTGTCTATCTCTGTGCCTGTTAATAGAAATCCTTTCAGTTTTTCACTAGTGAAAATATCAAATATTCGTCTTTTTCTTTTTAATTAATTCTTTTCAAGCTTTTCGAATTCATCGATTCATTCCTTCACGTTGTAGAGTGGTAACGACATTAATTGTCGAATTAAAATTGCCTGGTCTGACAGTAATTTCAATTTGTTTAAATTGAAATTATTATTTGTTTAAATTAATTATCATCAGTTTTCAAGTCATCTCGCGCAGTCACTGTTCACTTTTCACGCAATTTTAAAGCAATTTTCGTTTTAGTATCACCATTTTAATTCGATGGTAGAATCTCAATTTAATACTTACACGTAATTTCTTAGTTTCTAATTACCTACACATCTATTACGTGTACTATACAAATATGTTACTGCATTTGTTTCTACAAATAAAATAATTAGAAAATATATATATATATATATATATTTTTTGATAAGTTATTTAGTTGTTTATTTTAATATCCTCAAACGTGATTACGAGAATGCTAGGATTTCAATGCAATAATATCAAAATAATTCGACGATGAAAGCTAACCATATTATTATGTGAAAATTATTATATTATAATAATGCCCATGAATTAAGCTGTCAATAACACGAACAAAACAAGACTACAAACACGTATTTATATCTTCTATTTAATTGAGGCTTTCGTTGGAATAATATCATAAAAACTTGTATTATTTAAAAGAAAAAAAAACATTTCGACAAGAATAATATAAAATATACATCTATCTACTTTGTTCAGCCATTTTCAACAAACAAGCAATTGAAGTTGTTATTATACAAGTAATAATATAAAGTCATGATTCACAACTATAAATATAATTTTCGAAAACCAATCCCTTGCAACTAACACTCATGTATTCGAATATAATTCTTGTCATACGCAGTAATTCTCTTATAAATAATAATAATAATAACAATAATAATAGCAATAAATAGCAAGACAAGAGTCGTAGGTGATCAAATTTCGTTTGAATGAAAAGCATGCGAAACGTTAAAAATCTCGAGTGATCGCAAACTGAGTGGGCAGCAACTTTTCATCTGAGGGACGTTTTTCCCTCGAGGCTGACTGTTGCCGGCGAGATTAAATTTCTTTCGAATTAAAAGCACGTGAAACATTGAAAATTTTCGTGTGTGACCAGGGACACACTGTGACTTCTGTCTAAGGGACGTTTTTCCTTGATGCTGACTTCGCTGACTTCCGTCGCCGAGATTAAATTTCGTCTCGAATTAAAAGCACGGGAGAACGTGCGGACATTTTCGAGCGATGATGTCAGCTGGCAATCAAGTTAGGCAGCAACTTTCGATTAAAAGACGCTTACGTCGAAATCGAATTCCTCCTTCCTGCGTACTCTAAAACACAGTACAGTTCATTCTGCACGCGTCTTCAAACAACTGAGACCTCGTCAATTAGACATTAATTTTCACCGCCTGGCTGCTAGTAGCACGTTACACGCTCGTTTGTTCAAAACTTTCTCTTGCCATAACAACAATGGTTATCAAAATACACTTTTCCAAGCGTCTGCCCGAGCTTTCATCTGGGCAACTTGGTACATCTGGTAAGGCACGATTGACTAACGTCACGTAACAGAGCTGTCGCGCAACTAAATTAAACGCAGCTATATCGACTTGAATGGTTGGTGCTTCCGTGAAATACTTATTGGCCGCACTTTGAACTGTTTCCTTGAAATACGTGGTGAACAATACGCAATAACCATATTTATACCGTGTAGATGGTCCTTCAGGTTTTTGCTTCAAAGTTAGAAGAAATGTCAGCAACTTACGTTTAAAGGAAGGTACGTTTCATCGAGACGTGAATTCGTCGCGTTATTCCGAATATTCTTCTTTTAAAACAATAACTTGTGTGCCTTGAACACATCAGTGTGCGTGGAAAACGAAGATTTCTACGAAGAGTCCTTCTACGAGAGGGCTGTTCTTGGAAAAAATTGGAAACATGGTTTTCTCTTCAATTTCCCTTAAGGATGACATATTTTTTCAATAAAATTATCTAAAATATTACATTTTCAATTACATGGGAAATTCAATTTAAAGAGGAAAATAAAAATAGAACAGCAGCAAAGAAATTAATAAGATACCGAAAAGGCACGAGGGATGAAATTTTTATACTACTCGAGGGAAGATTCCGAGAATAAGAAAGTGGAAAAACGAGACCTGTTAACACTCGAGCCGGTTGAAGACCGCGATCGATGTTCGCGAAAGCTCGTTGGGGACTGAAAGAAGTCACGCGTAGCTGCATCTTTCACGAAACCTCTCCACGTATATATTTGGTTAATAGAATTGTAGAGAATGCAAGAAACGACAACATAAAGAATTGAAATATGCGCGAGTTTGTTTCAAAACTTGATTATCGTGAGATCCACACTTACGAGTAATTTAAGAATTTAAATTAAAAGTGTCAAAATCACAAAACAGATTTAAAATATAAATGAAATGAATAAAACACGATCGAATTATTTAATTATGTTATCCATTTGGAAAATTTATAATATCTATCTTGATCTTTATTTCATTCATATTTAACTTCGATTAAACAAACAATAAGACTTTATGAACAATAAGAGAGTTGATTTCAATAAGACTTCAAATCATAAGTAAGTTTTCCAACTGAGATCAGTTTGTTTCAATTTCTATGGAGTAGAAAAGTATAACTTTTTTTACTGAACGTTGACAAATTTA